TAACAAGAAGTGCAAATATTATTCATCAATACACTGAGCTTTGTCTCACATATGGGAGCTCAGAAGCCAGATTATCATTATTATTATTATTATACAGGACGTATATAGTGCCACAAGATTGTGCAGAGCTGTACAATATAAGGAGGACATTACAGTTACAGTACAAACAGGTCCGGCGCTACCGCAAGGCAAGGCAAGTGGCCGTCTGAGGGCGCTGCAGGGTGAGGGCGGAAAAAACAGGGCATTTTGACAAGTACTTGTACTTGCCAAAATGCCCCGATGCTTGCGCCATGTTGGACCTTAATCTTGTCCTGATTTGTGCTCAGGACCGGTGCTAGGATTTTTGCCTACACAGGCAAAAATGCAACTTTGCCTGTGTAGGCAAAAATCCTAGCACCGGCCCTGATTACAAATCAGGACAAGATTAAGGTCCACCAATGGATCTCATCTATTTGTAGCTGCTTTTATGGCTTTTCAATAAAAAGACGCCATTAAGAGGATTCCTACCGGTACCAGCTCTTTTCCACTTCATTTTGTTGATTGGGCCCAGCAGAGACTTACGCTGAGCTATATATAGGTGATTGGGTGTATGGGGGATCAGGTGTATGGAGAAATCAGATGTATGGCTGGATTTGGTGTATAGGGATTTGGTATATGCGGATCGAGCTTGTGGTGGGATTGGGTTTACGGGGATCGGGTGTATGGGAATCGGGTGTATGGGGTATTGGGTGTGTGTGGATCAGGTGTATGTGGATCGTGTGTATGGGGTGTTGGGAATCGGGTATATGGGGTATTGGGTGTATGGGGATTCGAGTGTTTGGAGGCATTGGGTGTATGGGGATTGGGTGTATGGGGATCGGGTGTATGGGGGGATTGGGTGTATGGAGGAATGGGTGTATGGGGGATTGTGTGTATGGAGGATTGTGTGTATGGGAATTGGGTGTATGGGGGATTGGGTGTATGGAAGATCAGATGTATAGGGGATTGGGTGTATGGGGATTGGGTATATGGGGATTGGGGGTTTATGGGGGATTGGGTGTATGGGGTGATTGGGTGTACGCAGGGATTGGGTGTATGGAGGAATCAGGTGTATAGGGGATTGGGTGTATGAGGATCGGGTGTATGGAGGAATCAAGTGTATAGGGGATTGGGTGTATTTGGGATCGGGTGTATGGGAATCGGGTGTATGGGGGATTGGGTGTATGGGGTGATTGGGTGTATGGAGGAATTAGGTGTATAGGGGATTGGGTGTATGAGGATTGGGTATATGGAGGGGATTAGGTGTATGGGGGGGATTAGGTGTATGGGGGGAGGGATTAGGTGTATGGGGTGATTGGGTGTATGCAGGGATTGGGTGTATGGAGGAATCAAGTGTATAGGGGATTGGGTGTATTTGGGATCGGGTGTATGGGAATCGGGTGTATGGGGGATTGGGTGTATGGGGTGATTGGGTGTATGGAGGAATTAGGTGTATAGGGGATTGGGTGTATGGGGATTGGGTGTATGGGGGGGATTAGGTGTATGGGGGGAGGGATTGGGTGTATGGGGTGATTGGGTGTATGGAGGAATTAGGTGTATAGGGGATTGGGTGTATGAGGATTGGGTATATGGAGGGGATTAGGTGTATGGGGGGGATTAGGTGTATGGGGGGAGGGATTAGGTGTATGGGGTGATTGGGTGTATGCAGGGATTGGGTGTATGGAGGAATCAAGTGTATAGGGGATTGGGTGTATTGGGGATCGGGTGTATGGAGGTATCAGGTGTATTGGGGATCGGGTGTATGGGGATCAGGTGTATAGGGGATTGGGTATATGAGGTTCGGGTATATGGGGGGATTAGGTGTATGGTGGGGATTAGGTGTATGGGGGATCAGACGTATGGGGGATTGGGTTGAAATCTATTACATGGTAATTCTCGGGGGTTGGATACAATGACACCTCACACGAGTGAAGATCCTTTAATAAAAATGAAGCCAAGTGGAAATAATCTGATCTGTCTCCACATTATAAAAAGAAGGATTACACTGAGCACGTCGTTAAGTCCATCACATCCAGAAAGATACAGATGACACCACATCTTCCACATCCAGATGGAGCTCAGTGACGGCACAAGAACATGAGCTGGCACCGTTCTGGTGGAATGTCTCTACGTTCTCATCGTATCGCTGCCATGAACAATCCGCTCCCTGTTCTGCGGCCATCACAGCTGTAGAAGCTCCGAGCCAGAGGACATACTTGGGCCGTAACATAATTTTCTTCTTATAATTTCATTTTATTATCATCACAAGGCGTTCTTCCCGTCCACAGAACAATGCGCTGCCGCTGAGGACGTCTGGCTGGCAAAGCCCATCTCTCCAGCTGTTCCTGAACTCCATCTCCCATGATCCTCAGCGTGTGTGCGGAGATGGAGTTCAATGGGGAAAGGCTTGAAGCTGAACTCTGGGATGGGCAAATATTCTCCTCATACAAGAGTCGTGTGCAGTGGACATGTGACCCCTCCAAAAACATGTTTACTGCGCATGCGCCCGCCCCAAGATCCTTTGCGGCCGTACGAGCAATTCCTGATTCTCCGCGTGGGAGCGAGCAGCGATAACGAGGTAAGTTTAAAATGATTTCAAGCGGTTTTTTGTTTTTTTTACACTTCTTGCCTATATCTACTGCTTGCTAGCAGTAGATATAAGCAAAAAAAACCGGAGGGTTTAGAACCCCTTTAACTTAATTATTTTTTGGAGGGTAGTTAATCATTTTAGTTCTGTACTGGTCATCTTAGTCCATACTGGTCATCTTAGTCCATACTGGTCATCTTAGTCTATACTGGTCATCTCGGCCTGCACTGGTCATCTCGGCCTGCACTGGTCATTATAGCCTGTACTGGTCATCTTAGTCTGTGCTGGTCATCTTAGTCTTTACTGGTCATCTCAGTCCGTACTGGTCATTACAGTCCGTACTGGTCCTCTTAGCATGTACTGGTCATCTTAGTCTGTACTGGTCATTATAGTCCATACTGGTCCTCTTAGGCTATACCAGTCCTCTTCATCTGTACTGGTCCTCCTATTCCGTACTGGTCATCTTTGTCTGTACTGGTCATCACAGTCTGTACTGATCATTATAGTCCAAACTTGTCCTCTTAGTCCATACTGGTCACCTTAGTCCATACTGGTCATCCAAGCCTGTACTGGTCAACTTAATCCATACTGGTCATCTTAGTCCGTACTGGTCATCTTAGTCCCTACGGGTTATTTTAGTTCATACTGGCCACCTTAGTCCATACTGGTCATCCAAGTCTGTACTGGTCAACTTAATCCATACTGGTCATCTTAGTCTGTACTAGTCATCTTAATCCGTACTGGTCATCCAAGTCTGTACTGGTCAACTTAATCCATACTGGTCATCCAAGTCTGTACTGGTCAACTTAATCCATACTGGTCATCTTAGTCCATACCGGTCATCATAGACTGTTCTGGTCATCTGAACTTAGCTTTAAATTAACCATCTATTTCTATAGTTATCTTCATTCTGCTTTTCATTGTTCTCT